AATATGTAAAAGATAACTCATCTAAAATCCTCCCTTCAGGCTTCTTCAAGGTGTTATTATTTGTTCAAGTTCAATGTACGTCGATGAATGCCTCCCAAAATTTTCTACGCACCTATGCCCATGCAAATGGGGACTCCAACATTTTTTACATGCTGTGGAAACAGTTCAGATACGTAGGCGAAAGGCACTGGCCCAAGCCGAAAGAATATCCCATGGAGAAGATCAAGATCGCAAGTAATGGTATCGGAGCTAGTTGATCCACGAAGCTGTAGCCCATTGCCTATTCAAAGGATAACGAATGAAATGGTTAATTTAGGTCCGTATTGTCAGTCGTCCCTACAATTGTAGGGCATCTTTATGGTCTCCTTGATTGTCATAGTTTTCTACTTCTCCGTGTCAGCGCTCTATTTTGAGGTTATGTCACAAACATCTATTTGCATCAAATTGTGCTTGCTTTTGAGTTATGTCATGTTTTATCAGCCTGAATTTCCTACAATTTAAAAAGAAAACATATCTTCACAATAGGAGAGCGCTGACGCTGACACGGGACAAGTGTAATCTAGAAATTTTGAAGGAGATAAAGGTGTATGACAATCAAGGAAGCCATAAACGCGCCCTACAATTGTACCATGATTTTTTTCACAATTTTGGGAAAGAAAATTTGCTTCCGCTTGCTCTTTAAATAGTTTTTGGGATAAGTACACTTTCACATACTAACGGAGCTGTAGGCTTGTTGGAGTATATTAAATGTAATGAGATATACGAGGTCCATCAAGGTTCTATTTAACTAGCGCACAGTAAGGGATCTGAATACTCTAGCACCATGCATGGGACAGTAGCAGAACCAAACACTCTCACGCTTGTTCAAAGTACATTTCCAAGTCCATTTTTATGCTCCTCTAATATCTCATAGAAGGCACTAGTATCTTTCGGATCCCTTCTTGGTTGTCAAAAGATAGTATATGGTTGGATATCTTTAGGCAGAAAAAGTTAATCAATGATTCTCTTACCTGTAACTGGAAGTAAAGTCCCAGAAAAAAATGACAAATTGCGCAACAAACTGAAGACCCATATCATTAGAGGCTTCCTTCCAAATCTGTCAACAACTACCGCAGCTGCAAAGCTACTTACAAGCTTGATGCTTGCTACCAAAATGGCCCAAGTGTTGCCTGACCCATGGTTGCTGCCTACCAAGTCAACGATGGGACCCAGGAAAGCGTGTATTACCGTTACTCCTGCTAGTAGGTGGAAAATCATCATGCAGGTGTTTATGAATAGAACTTTTCTGCATTTTCGATCCCTACAAGATTTAAAAAATGTGATTTTTTTCTCAAAATTTCTTAATTTTACCAAGTGGCTTGCGACTGAGTCGAAAACTGGACCCAGAGACTAATTGCAGCACTTATATTTTTATAACGGATATGACGTCAATATGCATAAGAAGAATTTATGTTCCTGCATTTGTGTTTTTTGAAATCGTAGCTAAAACTAACGCACGTAAGTTCCGAATATACTTGGTCATTGCATACATGTTTACTGCTGTATAACGCATATAGTATGCTGTACGAGTGCAACCCAATAATTTATTTTTGAGGGATGAATGTTCTAAAAATTCCATATCTATATATTTGTTGTATCAATTTGTTTGTAGCTAAATCAATATTATGGATCGTTATTATGGACTGGCATTATTAATTTGTGTGTTTAGAAAAATGTTAGAAAGTTGATCTATCTCAGAAACGGTTGATCTTTGGACACTAGATTGTATTGTCAATTTATCGGTAATGACCTCATCGAATATGTATATTACTATTACCCACAACGCCTACTGCAAACCTGTATACTGGTACCTAGTAAAGTGAATGTCTTACTCGAAAAGACTAATGTAGGTGGTCTTCTGCTGCTGACCATCTGTCATTTTTCCTTGTACAACACTTTCTATCTGCTTCATTTCCTTCCGAATGTCTTTTGTGCATCTCAGCTTCTCAAGATTCTTCGCCACCTCATCCCTGGGCCTATTCCTACTCACCAAAAAGTATGGGGTTTCCGGTACAAAGACCGACATGAGGAGTAGAGATAGTACAAGGGGTGCTGAGCAGAGTAATGTGTAGACTTTGGTCGGAAAAATAGGGCCCTAACGTATAGAGTACAGCATGCCAGCCAAAAGCATTACCATTATAAAAAGAACGAATCTGTGAACAATATCAGTCAATATTTTACTTCCTATGCCAATTTTGGAGGAGGTCATAGTGATTGAAAAAAAGTTTAAAAGTGAGATACAATGTTACATGACGCATAGGTACATCACGAAAAATCATGTCACTAACCCAAGTAGCACCGAAAGGGGTTACTAGGTACATTAAGGATGCATTACATCTGTTGTAATAAACTCGCCTTCAGCATAAAAGGGAGCACACCTTAAACGGAAAATAAATCAAAAAAATAAAAACCTTCATGAAGCTTTATTATGATGAGCAACTGTTTTTAAAACTGCTGATGGTATCAGTGGCCGAAAGCTAAACCATTTAGTCAATCGACAGAGAAATGTTAGTGTCAAAGGACTTCATTTTATTCTAAGGGTTCATAACCCAGAAAACTTAGAATTGAAACCGTTTAATTCTAACGCGACTACGAAAGATGCCGCTCCGTTTTAATGTAAATCTAACTTTAAAACTGGCGAGTCATAGTGGTCTAAACAAAATGCATCGTCCAGTTTGGACATGAAAGGAGAGGAATTCACTTTAGTTTTATCGTTTCTAGCTTGGTAATTGCACTTAAAAAAGCTAAGGAAATAGGTATAAAGCAGATCATATACTGACATACTAGCAGATGTAACGATTGGTATTTTTGGTTATATTGAGAGGATATTTGAAACTTCTTAAATACTACAACTTCGCAAACTAGAACGTAATAAAACTAAATAGCCCGCAAGTTCTCGCTCTTAGACGTTGGTAAGGTGACATTTTTTGTATATTATGATTGAGTATCGGCCTGAGAAATTCATGAAAGGAAACATTTAGTACCATAAAAAATCATATTTTGCTAAAAATGAAAATTTTAGAAGGCACCAAGTTTTAAACACTGAGCTATATTTATAGTTTTTCAGACTTAATCGCTTGAGAGTCGAAAGCGTTCAACTTTAGAGGACAGTTACCATGAACCTTTTTTTGTTCAGAATGATCTAAAAAGAACTGTTTTGTAATTTGTTTGAAAAAAATAACAAGTTGCAAAATTAGCACGGTTTTCGCCCGTCTATAGTGAGAATTTTAGGACTTGTGTGTGGGTGACTTGTTTTCTATCTTAGACTTATAGTAAATGGTTTAACCACAATGTACAATGATGTGGTATCACTTTCGTACTATCGTTTAAACGTTCATTGTTGTCATATTACAAAAATATTACTTTGCCAATCCGAAGGTTGTTATCATGAAATTAAAAATTTAAGTTCATTTACGCGTCTAGTGTTTTTAAATTATAGTCACATCGTCAAAGAAGCGCTTCCAATTACCATAAAGATAGTTGAGAAGGTTATCTATGACACTATGACATGTATGTTTACCTACCTATTAGGTTAGGTAACAACTAAACTATGTCATAGTAGAATAACTCACGTAATTCTGTCACCAATTAGATTATGTTTGGTTTATTCTAGAATTTAACTAACTTGAGTCCTTAAAAGTAAATAGGGGGCTCTTCGAAAAGCACTGCACCTGTATGTGGTTCCATTTGGTCAGATAAAACCTTTTCTCTAGTTACGTTGATCCAGAAACCAGTTTCTGTTTGAAAGCGTGAATAACAGCAAATTTTGTTTAGGTACGCGATGGAGGACCATTATATACGTATTTTATCCCGGTACTCGGTAGGTAGAGCGATACACCCAATTTCTAAAAAATAAATTACACCGCTCCGAGTAACATTTAACCTGGCCAGTTTGTACTTAGGCGTCATAATACCTAAGATTGAACGAGGTGTTATCATATAGTTTCAGTACCCAATGTTTATAAAAATGTGCAGTGTGCACATGATCATGGAAAGCTGAAATACACAAATTTGTCAGTTTCATAAGGAAATGTTGTCAAGTAAGTGGACTCTATGTACTTTCCAAGCACGGTCACCGTCAGTTCATGGAAGATTACGCTTGGCAAAAGTTAGACCATCAGAGGAAAAGTTAGCTACAAACATGTAAAATAAAAATTAAATGAATCAAGTCAGTCAAACAGGCTCACACAAACACGGCAGCGTAGAAGTGACGAAACGATACTCATAGGGGGGAGAAAGATTGCAATGCTTGTCGACCCAGAGAGAGACGCGCGATATGTTTTTATCTCCCTAAAAAATTGAAATATACTCTCACCCACCATACACCTCCACCTCCAATTTTAAACAGCTTCGATTTTTATTTTCTTCGTTTTTGCCCTTAGTTCTGCCACCACAGGACGAATTTTCACAAACTACAAAGTTTTTTCGTACGTAATAGTAACCCTCTGTTCGTCGTCGTCAGACTCTGAGCCGTACGTTCCAAGTTAAAGACGGACAGACCGACGGCAATGAAGTGACAAGGTTTTCCGTGATGTACCTACATGTACACATACATATAATATCCAAAAAACATTATGTCTCATCCAGTGGCGTAAAAAATGCAGTTAATGTGTATAAGATAATAAATTTTTCATTTTATTTTTGCAACATTGCATACGCGCTACGCGAGCACCTGATTGCATTACAGAACTGGTTCGAAGGTCTGGTACCGTAACGGAAGAAAGTAGCAAAACATATCGTACGCCAATGATAAGGAGGCGTGTTTTTGAGATCGCTGGAATCCGCACGAATCGACTTTACTGATTCAAAGGTACGTTGTGCCAGCAGTAACGTACGACCTGTTATGCTACTGTCTACCGCTTTAGTACCCGAGTACCACTGCGGCGGACCATAAGTTGGATATCAAACGCAACCATGGGCGGTGCTCTGCTGAACGTTCGCGTGAGCGTGTTTGTTATGTTTTACTCTACCCTTCCCCTATTTTCTTTCCGTGCCGTTTCTCCAATGTACATGGGTATCATGTAAAAACAACCTTTTCCCATTCCAATGATCATCCTACACAGGCAGTATAACCACCAGGTTCTAGAAAATGCTTCTAATACTGAAGCTATTGACAGGCAGGTCGCTATCAGCACCATCGCAGGCCTGCGCCCATAGCTGTCAAGTACCTGCAGGAACAACTATACCTATACAAAAATTCTAAAGAAACTTGACTAACTTAAGTCGATGCTAAAATCTTCCGACGTTCCTCTCTAACCCTTTTCGATCAGTCTTGTCTTGCATTATAGATATACTGAATCGGTGGTGACGAAGATAAAATTTACATTTTCATTACACGGCTGGCCAACAAAGGTACTATAAATGGCAACACTGGTGAATTTCAGTGGCCGCGATACCCTTTCTTGCAGACCTTTTATTACTGTTCTTACTCCAACACGATCCATTTCTGTTACAATCCTTGTCACACATTGACCAAAAATCACATAATATGGAAATGGTTTGACATAAAAACTAGGTGTGTTGTTAACATATCCTAAAATTAATTTTTTTTTATATTCCAACTACCACGAAGGCCTAAGGCCTAAACACCCATTGGGTACCGTGGGGCTATAGGGGGATACAGGGGAAAGGGGGAACGCCACACGGACTCTGGTGAGGGAACACGTGTGCATGCAACATGCACACATTCTGGCTCCGCCTACGAGATCCGCCGGATGGTACCTCCACGTTCGACAGTCAGAGACCGTCTACCACCTACGGACAATCACAACATCCATAGCCAAGAGAAAAATTTCTCCTGGGACGGGACTCGAACCCGCACAGCGCACGGCGACTGATCAGGAGACCGAAGAGTCTACTACTGCGGCCACCGCTGCTGACTTGTTTTACTGTTCAGCAATTCTCAAATATGCGCCAGCAAAGAGGTGTTGCATAGAGATCAACCACCATAGATTTATGAACGTCGCCATCTGCTGCCATCTGGTGGAGACAGGGGTGGCAACTGCTAGTGGTGGCTGGTATCCCACCAATTTATCTGCTGGCTAGAGATGCGCGCTCTACACAAGAAGCGCCAAATCTGGAATCGACGAAAGAAAGGCGCTCTCTGTTGGATCTCAGGGATCCAGGATCAGAAATCTCTTAGGGATTTCTGATTCTGGATACTAAAGCTTGGATTGACAAGTGAGCGCAACACATGGTTGTTTTGATGAAGATTTTAGCATGACTTACGCTTGATAGATATTTATATATTTGCTTATTTAACGAACCAGGGACATCAAATACAGTGTAGTTAAACGTACTGCTTCATAAACACTGTTATGCAAATATAAATTAGAGCGTTATAATATTCAACTCAGTAACAATAATAATAAACAGAAAATGAAAATGTAGCTTACTGGAGAGTGACCAATATTTTGTTTTTAACTAAGTATTTGAACTTTAACAATTCGTTATCAAAAATCAGAAAATTTGCGATGGTCATTCAGATTTCTTTGCATTCGTATCGGTAGAGAGTTTAAACCAATATTCGGCCCGCAAAACGGGATATTGAACTATGAACGTAATAAGAGTTTATACCAACCCTAGGTGGAACGAGGCATACTACAAGTGATCCAATGTAGAAGGACCCAACTATAAACGAAATGCCACTAACCGAAACTGGTTCGTCCAAAGGATTTATTGTGGCATCTTTGGATTTTAACCTTGGTATCGTAGGAGAAGCCCACGCTATGTGAGCTCCCGCTCCAAAAGTCAACAAAGTAACTGTGTAAAATAAAAATAGATTAGGACCAATAACTCATATACAGGGTGTAAACGTTATGGTAGTCATCAGTGAAGTGGGTAATAGGGGGGTCAAAACAAGTCAAAAAGTTCATATGACTCATGGTCCAAAAGTCAATAGATTTTTGTCTAAATGGCTTTATAGTTTACAACTTTAAGCGTTTTATATCGACCACAATCACCACAATCTTACTAATTTTTATAATCTAATCTAAAACGTTTTTGAATTTGGTAATTAACAAATAAATGGCATTAAGTTGTTCTAAGTTAAGCCAAAATTTGTAGTCAGTAAGAAAGTAAGTTTCATTAAATTGAATATTTAAAACATACTTGTCAACAGCGCGTCGGTCATCATCACTCTTATTGAACCGGCAATCGATCGCAAACGGTAACAGTGGTTAGTTATCCTTTTGCATAGTTTTTCGGCGTTGTCAGATTTATTTTACTTTAAAGTCGCTTTTCTCTAAAAAAATGCCGTTTTGACCCCCATGTTATATGAAACTTTTTTCTTCTTTAACCACTTCTATCACCCCTGTATGACACTGATAACTCACATCTAGACATGTTTCAAAAGTTGATCCCAGACATTTCTTGCGCGTATTGTTGCTGTTGTTAGCAGCGCGTACAAAATTTTGACCATTATTGAAAGTTTATTCAAAAAGGGGTAAAAAATTGGGAAATAGAGGTTGTAGGGGGTGAAAGAGGGTGTATCGCATTTTTTTGAGGTTATTATATTAATCCACTTCCGACCTCAGTAATTCTACGCACCTATTAGATATATTTTCCTGTACATTTGCTCTTAAAACTTATTTAATATTTCTGCTCTCAAGACGGAGAAAAGTGAATATCCTTACCGAACAACTTTATTCCTGGATTGTTGTTTACG